GTGTGTAAATATATATATATATATATATATATATGTCTGTATGTATAAATAATGATTTTTTTTTACTAAGAAAATGAAACACGTTTTCATGTTGTTCTCACAGTTGGTTTTCTGACTGAAACAGAAATTTTGGATTCAAGCAGGCACTCTCCACTACAAGGCTCGCTGTTTTTATTGAGAGCAAAACAAAAGGTCTGAAAGTAGATCCTGAGAACAAATCAGTGATGATAAATGGTGGTGGAAAGATGTCTGTGGGCAATGGCAGGTGAAAAGGGCAGAAGGTCACGAGGGGTCAGTGACTGTGGCTGTTGGTGTAAGGAACTGACACATCATCAAACCCCTGGCAGACCTTGAGAAAAGGTTTATTCAAGGAGCAGGGCTATAGGGAGGGGGGATCCCGACCCTGTGAGAGCTCCACAGGCACCAGTCCAGGGATTTTCAGCAGCACTACCCCATGCCCAGCAGGCCAGACAAGCCATTCTAGTTCCTTCTCTGGTTCAGATGGGCACCATGACCTGCACAAAAATACACTGTCAGCCTTGGGAAATAGCTGAGGGGAATTGCTGCCACCTTATCTTCTACTCTCACAGTCTCTTAAAAGCAGTGTTCAGAGCTCCACCCCTTCGGATCTGGCTACAGAGAGATGTATTGTTGCAACAAGACTAGTTTAGAATAATGTCCTTGATGTGTGACAAAATTATACAGGAAAGGTTCACATTGGGATGGCTTTTCACAAATGGGCATGGAAAGTTAGTTACACTGGAGAACAGAACAGCTCAGTCTCCATGAAGGGTATAAATACCATCATGTGGGGAGGAAGGGCAAGTAGAAGCAACGAAAAGCATAGGTGATAATGCCTTTTTCCATGGAAAATAATCTTTAGACCAGGTCTCAACATCTCTGCTGGAACAGGAAAAAAAGTGCTAGAAACTGCCTTTTAGACTATTCTCGTTTAAAAAACAAACAAACGCCGCCAACACACAGGGGTTTTGTTTGATGAATTCAGGGGCACGTCAGATCCCTCTTACTGAGTAAGGAAACAGAGTTCTTTTGTGGTGCAACAAGTTCCTGGACTTTGTTCTTGAATCTGTGCCCCTCATGTGCTACGAGATCAAAGTGATCTTTTATCCTGTGAGTTCTCATTCGCCCAAGATATTTACTGACGTTACTCAAACTCACTTTCAGCGAAGACAAATCGCGTTTGCCTCGTTTGCCCCTCTTAGTGCGGACATAAGGGCCATCTCCTGGCCACGGCAGGGACTGTAAGAGGAGTGATGAAAAAAAAAAAGGCTTTAAATCTCAAGAATAAAGCCTGTCAGGAATCATTTGCTCCACGATACCTGGAAAGCTAAACAGAAGCCACAAGTAAGGATTTGTGCCACCAGTCCCTCTCAAGAGTACCAACGTTTATCAATTTAGGCCTAAGAACTGTCCCTTGCACAGGATTTCCTTCACCTCCCTCAAGTATAATGCAACTAGAATTTTTTTACTGATGTATTGCAAAACCAAAAATGCTCATGAGTTAATTAGTTACATATTCCTTCTCGGGCTTAAATACTTTGTGGTTTCATCTGATAGGACCCAGAATTTTATTGCACCCTAGGACACTCAACTTGCCTTAAACCCTGTCTTCTGAAGTAGTGACTGCAGGATGACTATGTGATGTTAAAAAACCAAATTAAAATCTAAGTTTCTCAACAGTGGAGAAAGAAACACCAAGAAAAACCGATTTCTGAAAGTTAGGAAGCAAAAATTGCAAAACACATCTGCAGTTTTTGGCAAATTTTTAAGTCTCACACATTACTGGGGAAGAAAAAAGGACTGAACGTGGCTTTAGAATGCCTGACATAGGCAACATAAAATAAGGCACTTGAACACAGGTTCAAAAGAACTGTAAAGACAGATTATAGAATACACTGCAAACTGATAATACACACTTAGAAATCACCTCACAAACCAGAACCTGGATAATGTGGGGAGGGAAGGAAAGAGTTTGGGGCCTAAAGTGAGCTAAAGCTGAAAGCTGCTTTCACAAAGACAGCATTTTCTGCTCCTGCTGACCGGATAATCCGAGTTTTCTTCTCCTAAACAAACAAGCAAACAGAAAACAAGAAACAGAATTCCTGTCCAGTTGGATACAAACAATTTTTTGCTTCTTCTCACCTCGCTTACGGAGTGGAAAAAACCCTTTGAAGTCAAATTTCCTCATGTCCGAAATGAAATACTTTGTTTTAAAATACCTAAGAAGGAAGGGGATGAAGAACTAGGACCACAAAGTTACCAGGAGGTTGTACAGGTGGTTGTACAGGTGGGGAACAGTTTCACATTTCGAATATTTTTATTGCTGTTGGCTCACACACCTAGAACTGCACTGGCATTCAGAATGGTGGCTGCCTGAGAACTGCAAATATCTACACTACAAATGTAATTTGCAATTCCTAATTGGAAAAAAAACCCAAACAACAACTTGCTTCCTACTGTGCAGGCTTCCTAAAGCGCTGAATAATTAATTTTGATGATGTTAATTTTAATGTTGTTAATTAATTTTAGTTGTTCTTATAAGCCCCACCAGGGTTAGATATCCATCCACAGCAGGTTTAGATGTTTACTTGTCAACAGGAGAAAAAAAAAACCAAGTATTTTTTAACACTAAAGCCAAATCTTCAGTAGTAACAGTATAGCAGAGCCTAAAAACCTAAATGCTCCCAACAGACGAAATCACAAACTTCCCCTGCACCAATTTCCCTCAGGAAGAAGCTCCAGAGTAACCCCCTGTCCAGAAGGAAGTATTTTACAGGCTCCAGTCTTGGTGTTCATGGAGAATACAAGAGAGAGCCCCACAGCTTGGATTTCTCACAGCTCCAGCTGCACCAGAAGGCAGCTGCAGAACCACCCTGGTTTACTTTGGTCACCTGTATCACTGGATGCCAGGAAATTCTAAAAAAATTTAAAAAAAAAAGAAAAAGTTGCCCTGTAAGTTAATTACAGATTGACTGAATGAGTCAGAGAGGCAGACACAGATCATCAAAGAACGAGGAACACGACATTTTTATGGGTGATCACTGTCAATCACTTCCTTTGTCAAAAATGATACACGAAGTTAATAATAATGTAGGAGACAGAGCGAAATTTAGGGTTCTTAACATCTTCAAGGATCAAGACAATGTTATTGCAAGAAAAAAAGCGACAGACACATCATTCTGTGAAACTCCTTAAATGCTTGATCTAAATGAAATTCAGCTAAACTTGTGTCTCATTAGGTGTAAAATGACAAGGACTCTGCTGAATTCAAAAACATTTCAGATTTCAACAAGCCTGAGTAAGATTTGCACGTATCTTTCATCAGCTGGTACAAAGATAAAAAGAATCACTACATGCAGGGACCATAATTTGTTCCCAACAGCAATCCAGTTATCACAGAATCATGGAATATGTTCTTCCTTTGTTGTTCCTGTTTCTCAGGTGGTAGAACAAGCCACTCTTTGAGAATTTTTGGACAGTGACACAAACAAGATTAGTAGCGCAAGCTACACATGAAGTTAATTTATCGTATTGAGACTGGCTTCCCACAAAAAGCCAAGACACTGACACTGGGTAGGCAATATTATTTATTATTAGTAGTATTTTCCACCACTCCTCTGTAGCTTGGTAGCTTTCTTTTAAAGAACTACGAAAGCTGAAGCGATTTTTTTAAATTCCGATTCCAGCACAGGTTGGCTCATTGCCCGGAGCTGCACCGGGGGCACCCACCGGGTGCCCTCATGATCATTGATTAGCTGCAGGAATTGATTAATGATCAGCACCGGGGCACAACACTTTGCGTGGGGAGCCGCCTTCCAGTCCTGCTCCTATTTATACTTGTGCCTTGAAGAAACATCGCCTTTTAAGTGTTTAACTTGTGGCAGGGGACCAGAAAAAACACCGATTTTTGAGTGTTTAGCGTGGGATCAGAAGAACAGCGATTTTTTAACGTGGAGCTGGGAATCAGAAAAAAACATCGGTGTTTGAGCGTATAACGTAGAGCGGGAGATCAGGGAATGAGAAAAACACGGATTTTTGAGTCATTAGCCTGGGGAAGGGGATGAGGAAATGAGAAAAAACACCGATTTCTGAATGTCTAACGGGGGGGGGTGTCGTATCGAGGAATGAGAAAAAACACCGATTTTTGAGTGTTTAACGTGGAGCTGAGAATCAGAAAAAACACCGTGTTTTGAGTGTTTAGTGTGGGGGTACGGAGTCAGAAAAGAATCGATTTTTGAGTGTTTAACGTGGGGCGGGCGCCGCTTTCACCCCGGGGCTCCGTCAGGGAACGGAGCCGAGTCCAACCGAACACTCCCGGATGGAAACGAAGAGAGCCGAGATCAGCCGAACACTCCCGGATCGAGCCGAAAGGAGCGAGTCCAGCCGAACACTCCCGGATCGAGCCGAAAGGAGCGAGTCCAGCCGAACACTCCCGGATCGAGCCGAAAGGAGCGAGTCCAGCCGAACACTCCCGAATCGAACCGAACGGAGCCGAGTCCAGCCGAACTGACCCGACCTGGGCCGAACTCAGCCGAGCGCAACCGAATCCAGCCGAGCCGAGCCCAGCCGCCCGCGACAGCACTAGAGCAGCCGTGAGGGGCCGAAGCGCGGTGGCGGCGCGGCGGCCGCCCGGCAGCAGCGAGCAGCGGCAGTGGCAGTGTCCGGGGGCAGTGACAGCGGCAGTGCGCTGTCAGTGCACGCTCCACGCCGCCATTTCCCCCCCCCTCCCCTCTCTCCTTCCCCCGGGAGGCGGGGTCGGCGCTGACATGGCGCCGGCGCGCGCGCGCCGAGTCACGTGCCCCCGGCGGCTCTCGCGCGGGCCGCGAGCGGGGCCCGTGCGCTCCCGGCGTGCCCCGCGCTCCCCCCGCTCCCCCCCCGGCCCGTCGCGCGGTCGGGCCGGGCCGCGCGCGCTGCCCGCGAGCCCCGCCATGGCCGCCGCCATCATGGCCGCGCCCTGAGGGCACCCGCCGGCACCGCCGCCCGCAACGACAGCACCGCCCGCAGCGCCGCCCGCCCGCCCGCCAGCGCCGACATGGAGGCCGTCAACGCCTTCAACCAGGAGGTGGGAGCGCGGGGCGGGGGACACACACACACGGCACACACGGCGGCCGCCATCGCGCACCGCCCCCCCCACTTCGGCCCCGCGCTTCCGGCAGGGCCCTGCCCGGCTCCGCCGCCTGTGAGGGGCCCGGCTCGGCCCGGCGGGGAGCGGCGCTCCGGGGGAAAATGGAGGCGAGCGCGGCCGGGCCCCGCGGCCTTGCAGGGGCCGCCCCGCGCGGGCCCGGCCCGGGGGGGAAGCGGCGTTGGAGGGATCTGTGCGGGGATCTCTGTGTCCCCTCGCTGCCCCCGCGCCTTCACTGCCACCGCCTCGCTGTCCTCCCGCTCCCGGGCTCCTCCTCGCACCGCCGGCAGCGGGAACCCCGTTCCGATCCCTGTTCCGGGATCGCTGCCGGGAGTCGTTCCCGGCCGTGCGTGTCGTTTTGGAGCTGGGGCGAAGCCGCGTTTCGGGGCTGGTGTTCCCTCGTAGTGCCTTGGACGGTGTGACACTGGAGCGGGAGGGGGGATCTCTGGGCGCCTGGGATGTGACTGAGGGATCGACGCCAGCACTGGGCACAGAGGAGGCTGAAAACCATTTACTCTCCTTTCGTGCCACGCTCCCTGCCTTCTCTTTTTTTTTTTTTTTTTTTTTTTTTTTTTTTTTTTTTTGGTTCCTGGATCGGCCGATGGGAGTTGGAATCAAAGCGGAGCGTGGCGGTTTTTCGTGCAATAAACAGCAATGTAATTTAGCCCTTCCTCTATAAAGTTTTTTGACACGTGACTTAAAAACGATGGTTAGTTGTTGGTCGTACATCCCTCTCAGCTGGGCACTGAGGCTTTGCGGGTCCTCCCTAGACAGAAAAGCAGTTAAAGCTCAGCCAGAGGCTGGTCGCAAATATGCGTTGGAAAGTTGGGAGGCTGTGCATTCCTGCAGGACAGGAACGGGAGAAATGGCAGCTGCTCTTCCGTGATGGAGTCAGGGTGCAAAAAGTTCACTCTGCAGTTTCCTGGGATCCCGTGACTGATCCCTGCCTTGGAAACTGGTGTGTTTTGTTCCCTGCCTCTTCCTGTAGGAAAGGTGGGATGCTCTGGCTTGATGCAGAGAGGAATCCGAGTGAAATCCTGATGTCTGAAAGAGAGCAAAGCATCAGATTTTTTGCTTGGATATCAATTATGGGGGAGAAAAGGGTCCTTGCTGAAGTTCCTGTTGTGCAGTCACTTGTGTGTGTGACGGGTTCCTGGGACTGGACGTGTGTGGAGCAGCCTGGGAATGAGCTCAGGGTCTGTGTGGTTCCTGCCCTGTCCTCTCTCAGGAGGGGTGTTTGTAGTGTTGGCAGAGCGCATAAAGTCCAGTTCTCAGACGGGTCTCTTCACTTGCTGCCTGGAGCAGCACAAACTGAAATGGTCTGGGGGGGGGGTAAGATTTAGGGGGAGATACTGTTCTCTTTCACTGAGAAAGCCCAGAAATGTCCATTTTACAAAGGTCTGAGTGTTGTTCCAACAGTGATGGGAACAGCCCAGGCTGGGGAGGCTGTGAGGGCTGGTTTTGTCTGTACAGCTCGGTGTTGTGAGGCCTTCAGAGGTGCCAGTCCCAGTCACTTAAGGGTTAATTATTTTATTGGGAGTGGAGCGGCTCCAGCAGTGAAGATGGGGGCAGCTACAAAGTATCCCGTAGGCCAAGAATTCCTGGACTTGCTGGCTCTACAATACCAGGGAATTGTGGGTTTATCATGGAACTCCCAAGTGCAGCAGCCCCGGGATTGGAGCTGCACTTCCCGTGCGTGCTGGAGGTGATTCTCTCCTGGCTCTGCTTCCATGTCAGCTCTGCCTGAAGGAGGAGATGCCACTTACTGCAGGTGATCCCACCATTTGGGATTTTTTTGGGGTGGGTTTGGTGTTTGCAGCAATTCTTTGAATGGTGGGAGGCCCAAGTTCAAAGCAGGGCTGTAAATTAGGCATGCTCGAAGCTGCTGGGTTGGTGTCTCCTCTTGGATAAAAGAGCTTGGGGAGGGAGAGGAGTGAGTTTGGCTCTGGCAGTGGGTGGGAACTCGCTGGGGTTGTGTAATTTGATCCTGTTTGATTGTGGTGCCGTTCCCTCAGTCCCGGTCTTTGAGCCTCTCTTTTGAATGCAAGTTTGTCAATAAATGTCCTCTTCAAAATCCTCCTGTTTCTACAGGAGCAAGCCCAGGTTTTGTGTTTGCTGCTCCATCTTTATCCAGCTGTAGTTTGAGCAGATTCCTCCAGCTGAATAGGAGGGATTGGACAGGGCTGTGGTGCGTTTCCTCTGAGGAATTCAGTTCCAACTGGATCCTGCACTGTTAGGTGCATATATTATGTTACATTAGTGACACAGTATAAATAAATCACCAAAGGTAACTGGATAATGGACAGAACTTTGTTATGCTTTTAGGAAAACAAGCAAACATTTTTCTAAAAACAAAACAAAAAAACCCCAAACAGAAAAAATCCCACCCCCAAAACAGAAGCAAACAAAACCCCTCACCAAAACAGCTGCCACGGTTTATAAATCCTTGGCATGTTTCAGTTTAGGGGATGTATGTTTCCTTTTCTTTAATCTGAAAAACTTGAGGCATAGTTATAAAAGTTAGAAAAAGAGGTTTTGTTTTTTTTTTGCGCAGTCTTGCTGCTGGAAATAGGAAAAAAGCGCCAACTTTCTTGTTTTGTAATCTTTTATTTGTGTTGAGTAATGCATCCTGTTCCTTTAATGGTGTGTCTCAGGTTGACAGTAGTTAATCTGTACCACTGAAACATTTGATATCCCACCTAAAGGTGCCCAGAGACAATGAGGTGGCAGATCTTGTGGGCTGTTTGTTCCAAGCTGGAGCTGCAGGTTCCTTCTTTGCTGTTGGCCCTTGTTCAGGGCACTGGGCAGTTGGGGTTTTGATCCAGCCTGGCTGGTTTATGCCAATGGCAAGGCTTTATTTTGCCTGTTCTATTACAGTCTTCCCCTCCCTCCCCAGGTGCTATAAATAGAGGCTGGCAGGATATCCTTCCCAGTGGTTCTCCAGCAGTTGCTGGAGCTCGGGATCCCCGGTGAGAGTCTGGATGTGCAGGGAAAAGCAGCAAGGACACAACTACCAGCATCTGGCTGGAGTCTCTTGCCTCTGCACTGAACTTGTTTCCAGGAATACTGGAAGCTGTGACATTCCAGTAGGGATTCCTGGTAAGAGAAGTAAGACAAGCAGTATTTCCAGGAGATGTGTTGGACATGAGAGCCCTGCCCTGGCCCCGAGAGCTGCATTTCCAAACCATTTCTGCAGAAAACAAAACTCTCTTCTGTGTGTACTTCCATGATGTCATTTTCAGATGAGGATCCCTTGTGAAGATGTTTCTCCCCAGTGTTTCAGGATTTGTGGAAGGCCCTTCTGGGCCACAGAAGTGGCTGAGTCGCTGAAGTGCTGTTTGGCTTCATTGCCTGGGGGTCATATCTGGTCAAATCTAAATGTCACTTTATTTTCCCAAGAATACAGCCTGACAGCTGTGGGTGTTATGGTGATCTCTTACCTCCAGCAGCACCTGATGCTAGTGGTCAAGCATTTAAAACTTGCTGATCATCTGAGATAGGGAATGATCTGTTGCTAAGCTCTTTCTCCTTTCCTTAGCTCGAGGAAGAACCTGAGGAGGACAGGAAGCAGCAAGTTCTTTAGAGGAAGGAAAATGTACAGGGCCAGCAGAATTCCTTTGGATTTTCTAAAACACCTACCCTTTTAAAGTTTTGTTAACAAAATAGTGTGGTGTCTGTGCTTGTTGGTCATGTCTTCCATCATCCTTTTTCTTCTGTAGGCACACAAACAAGTAACTACAATTATATACCCATAAGTGTCCGGTGATTTGCCGTGTCTCGTGTTTTCTAAATGCATAAATAAAACACATTCCAAAAGCTGGTGAATGAATGTACTGACTGTGGCTGAAGCCTGCTTTGGGAAGTGTTTTTGGACACCTAAGGCTCGATTGAATCATTGAGGGCGTGTTAGACTGCTCTGGAAATTGGAGAAGGGGAGGTTGAATGAGGTGTCCTGACAGTGACCTGAGTGCTTGATACCCACTAATCACTAAACACTGTGTTTGTTTTAGTAGGTGCTTCTCTCCGTGCTGCTGCTGTGCTGGGGGGTTGATTTAATGAGTGTATAAAACAGACCCGTAGCTCTTTATTTGCAAATAAAGAGACCTTTTTATGGCAGAGGCACTTCAGCAAGAGAGCAAAGCCAGGGAAGCCAGTTCAAGCCCTAAAAGGTATTTTTACCTTCCTACCGGGTTATCTCATGCTTAAAACAGATAAATAGACTTAAGATTGTACATCAAGCCCGGTAAATTTTAAAATAGTGGTTTTCAGGTTCCTATGTAAAATAGACCAGCAAAGGGCATTAACTGTAGAATGACAGGAGTTAATAATCTGCTGCTCAAAAGGCTGAGAACTAAAGGCCATCATCATCCTTGTCCTGTTTCCCACCCCTCCTGGCACCTCCTGAGCTGGAGCAGGGGCACAGTTGTAGCTGAAAGGTGTCTTGGTTCACTTCTTCCATGTGTTTTCTGTGGTGCTTCTGTACTTCACGTAAAGTTTTAATTTTGGGGCTCACTATGTTAGTTAGTCTCCCTTTTGCTGTCCTGCCATGGTTTAATGAATAGCTCCCCTTTGTTATTAAAGAGCATTTATCAGCCTGAAAACGAGCAGGTGAATTTTCTGCCTTTTAAGCTCTTTGCTTTACAGATACTTTAGAGTTTCCTTCCGTGCTGCTGTGAAAAGTACCCAGAAATACTCTTAAATCAATATTGTGTATTGTGGCTGGAGTTTAGTGGGCTCTTTAATACCTCCACTTCTTTTGTGTCAACATCCTCCGATCCTGCAGTTATGGTCAGTGAAAGCAGAAGGTCAGAGCATTCTAGGGACAGGCTCCTGTTGTGAGGCAGGACATGGGAAATGCTCTCAAGCCACAGATTTTCATTGCCTGTGTTGCATCCATCACAGTGATTTTTTAAATAGTGTAAACTTTTGTGTCCAGGTTGTTCCTTGGGCTGATCATGGTGCCCTTGGAGGAACTGGATTTATTATTGTGAGAACAATCCTCTGAAAATAAGGGTGTTTTTTTTGGTGTATTGCTTTGGGCAATGTGTGTGGAGGAAGATCCCAGTCTAATTGAACATATGGAAATGTAAATTCATGGGTGGCTTACTGAGCAGCTCCCCCTTCTACCAGTGAAAAGCCATGAGGGACTTGTAAGGGTGATAAATTTTAGATTTACCTGTGTTTAAAACGTGGTGTAGACACATTTAACCAATACTGAGAATTAAATAAAAATCAGCATTAAACTAGTCATTTGATATTTGAAGATTTCGGGTAACTTGAAAAAAGTAGGAAAGTTCTGTTGTAAAATTCCAAGAGATGGTGATGGGGAGGGTGAAGAGAGGGCAAATAATTTATTTTATATATATACACACACATGCACATGCATATATGTACTGTAGGTGTATTTACGTATGTATGTGTGCCTTTGTCCTCCCTGGCAGTTTTTCTCCTTGGATTTTTATTTTTTCCATGTTTCCCCCAATTGCAGTGTCAAACTTGAGATACTTTAAAGATACTTCTCTTTATATTTTTGCTGCCCCTTGTTTCTTGTTACCTTGGGCCCTGCTCTGAGCCCTCCCAGTTTCCTGGGGGGTCTCTCCTTGTGTTCCTGACATACAAAGTGCTGCTTTCACACCAGCTCCTTTGTTCTTACTATGTGGGACTGGATCCTGTTGCTGGAGGACCAGTTGCTTCTCCACGTGCAAAGGAAAGGATGTGGAATGCCTGTCTTAATGTTGGCTGCTTTTTTCCTCCTCTGTCTGTTTTTGAGCCTTCTGGTGCTTCGTTGTGGGTGTTGGGCTTTCGATTTCTCTTCCCCTTTCATTACAGCTTAAAACAGATTTTCCTGAGTTTTAATAATATTACTGACTTAGTTCATTGAGAGTCTTTGCACTTATTTTAAAGCAATTAAGTCCCAATTTAAAACAAGATTTGTTTTTAAAACCAAGTCAGCTCACAGACTCCTCTCTCCGTCTTTTATCTGACAGTTTTTTATTTGTCCATGCTGTGATTTCTCATCAAGCTGAAATATGTTTAACAGTTAAAATGGCTTTAAAAGTCCAACATTCTGGCATTGGAACTGGCATTTTATGGAGATGGATAATGAGAATCCATGGTCTTGTGTTGGTGCTGGAAAAGGCATCTGGCTACCACTGTCTTGAACGACAGTTTTTCTTCTGTCACATCTCCTGGAATAGGAATTGAATTAAGAAAGTAAATACCTTGTTGCCAGCTCTCTGTGTTTTATGGGTGTAAGGCCTCCCTTTGTCCTGCTGAAAGCCTGGTTAGCAAATTACTTGCCTTATTTGGCCAAATTTTTTTGTCTTCTTCATTGATTTTTTTTCCTTGACCGAGACAGTGAATAAATCTGTGCAACTTGGTCACTTCAACAGTATCTTGGAACTTAAATCAATTAAAATTAGAAGTAGAAGAAATTTTTAAATGACATCTTACTTTCCATAACAGTGACAAATGAAGACACTTGTATTCTCTTATTTTGCTTTGTGGCACATAATTGATGACACTTTTGACTAGTGTTCAAGGGCTCAATTTTTTCTTTATTGTAAAGGGCAAAATGAAATTATGTAACACAAAGCACTTTTTCCCCTGTGATTTGTGAGGAATTATTTCAAGGTAAAAACAACTCTGTGTGTGTAGAAGCCTTGCAGATCTCAGTGTTGTTTTGCCATAAGAACACAGTGCAGTGCACGGGGTGGTTTTGGCAGCTGGTTATTTTGCAGTGAGAATTTCCAAGAGCAGCTTGTGGAGCTGATAGAATTCACTGCAGATCCAGAGAGGGATCCCGAGGGATCTGGAGGGCAGTGCAATGTGCATTGGAATCTGGGGTCTCTGGTGTGTGTACATGTGAGTGCCAGGCTGTTACTGACAACAGATCTCCCCAAATCCCTCAGTTCCCTGTTCTTTTAAAACATTCCACACGGATGGAATGTCATGTCACAGTGTTCAGGTGGTGCTGGGATCCTGGGGAAAGTGTATCCAGATGTCTTCATGGATGATTCCCCAACTCTGTGTGCCAGTTTTAGTTTCCCTCATCTCTGAAATGTAAAGCTAATGCTTATTTTCAGTTATGGTGTGTGTAGATATATACATATATATACATACATACATACATATATATATATACACACACTCACACACATACATATCATCTGTAAAGACCAGTAACTCCTGAAAACGTCCTTGAGGAATGAACTTTCCCCTGGGTGACCTATGAAGAATAAGGCAGCAGTTTGTAAAAGAGCAAAATAGGTTTGTAAAATAGCAAGTTCTCTCAGGGCCAGCCAGCAATGTGGCCAGCACAGTGTGGGATATCAAAAATCCCTCACCCACCTGAAATGTCTTTTTTGGTGAATTCCTTAAGCTTCAGAACACATTTCTAATGTTTGTTTTGTTTTCTCTGTTCAGCTCTTTTCACTGATGGAGATGAAACCTCCTATTTCCCGAGCAAAGATGATTCTCATCACAAAAGCTGCCATTAAAGCTATTAAGGTAAAGTACAACAGGCACAAACACCAAACTGTAAACAGCAGCAATGTTTTATTATTTCACTTCTGAAGTAAATATTCAGGATTTCCCAGTCTCAGGGATGGTTTATTCTGGTTGGCGTTAAGGCTGTTGTGTAGAAACAAGTGGGTGGTGAACATCATCTCTTGGTTTTGGACTGGGAGCGTGATGCCAGCTTGGTTTTTATATTTTTTTTTGGGTCATTGCTTTTTAATGCTACATCCACTAGGGTGTTGTGATTCTTGTGAAATAAAATTTTAACTGTTGCAGGGTGCAACTGCACTTTATTAGCACGTGGAAATGCTGGTCCTGCGTAGAAAGTAACTCCAGAAAGCTTTCACTTACTCACTGACACCACACTGCTGGCAGAAAGGATGCCTTGGGTCTGGGTCTCCCCCATGAAATCCTTTTCTCTGTGCTTTAATTAATTAATTTAGCTTGATAGCATCCTGCCTTTTAGAATGTGACTACCATATTCTGTACTTTTTCCAAAGTGGTAATAAGCACAAAGAGTGAAAACACTTCCAGAATGATGTGCCACTGTTCAGTAGCTGATATGTAGCTAATGTATGTTATTTATTTTCCAGCTCTACAAGCATGTTGTCCAGATTGTGGAGAAGTTTATCAAAAAGGTAAACAAAAATAATAAAAAAATCTATTGATAAAGTTATTGTCTGCATCCTTTATTAGATATTGCCAATAAATAACCAGAAAGGCTTCTGTTACTCAGGGATTGAGGGGGGAAATCAACCTGGTTTGTTAGGATTTTATACATTTTGGTATCACTTTTGTATATATAACCTCATTTTAGTTTTCCATCATACATTAATGGGAGGGGAAGCAAATTGTGAAATTTTTCTCTACCCAGCAGCTGGGGAGGAAACTGGAGGTACTGAACTTAAAATTAATTGTCACTAACTTAATCCTTACTTTCAGAAATGGCAGTTTTCATGCTTGCCTGGGCATGTAGAGCAACAGGCTGGAATGCAGTGCTCCCTTTCTCCCCAGGAGCAGATTTCCTGGGAATATCCCTGCCTGATGGACAATTCTTGTTGTGTTTCAGTGCAAACCAGAGTACAAAGTCCCTGGGCTGTACGTGATTGACTCCATTGTTCGTCAGTCCCGGCACCAGTTTGGAACAGACAAAGATGTTTTTGGGCCAAGATTCTCTAAAAATATTACTGCCACATTCCAGTATTTGTATCTGTGTCCATCTGAAGACAAGGTATGACTGTCACTCCCCAAGTGTTGCTGTGCATTGGTCATGGTGTTTGCTCTCCTGGGACAGTGAACTGGGTGATTCTCTGTCCCTGGGAGGGACTGTTGCTGTAGGAAAGGGTAAAACGGGCTGAGGAAGATGATCAAAGGTGATAGTTGAATGCAAGTTGGAGTTAAAAGATATATTTTGCCTACCCTCATCAGCTTTGCCTGTGCAGACAGTTCAGCACTGTGTGGTTACTGTGCCAAAAGCTTTTCCTCTTGAGGTTGCTTCAGGAAAACTTCCTCTGGAAGGCAGTGTCTCCCACAAAAAGGAGGTGTTGCAGGAGCAGCTCTGGTTTTGTAGGCAGTGATGGTTCTGCTCACAAAAGTTTTCTAAGAAAATCATTGTGTTGGTTTCATCAGTCTTTCCCAGTCCTGTACTTGAGGGTTTCATTGCTGTTCTCCATTGCCAACACTGGTTTAAGGCCTTGTTTTTCTTAGTTCTGCTGTACTTGTTGATAGAACAGAGGCTCAGAAAGTGTCCTGAATTCCTGATGGTCCTGGTTGTTACCAACAGAAAATGACTTTTGTTCCCTGGCAGGAAAATCCAAGATAAGTATGTTTCAGAAGTTGCCAGTTGGTTTCCAGAAAAACACCTCTTCGCTTTTTCTCTGTAAAATACTCCTTTTCTACCTGACTTCTTCCCCAACTTTCTAAATAAGCTTTTTGTAAAGCTTTGATGTTCATAGTTCTCTAATGTGGTACATTTAGACCTTCAGGCTTTGAATCTGATATCCTGGAGCTCCTGGGTTAATACCTTGGTGAAAAAGAGCAGTCCCTTCTCCTTTCTGTTTCTGTGCTTACCATTTTGTTCACATAAATGAATTAGGCTGTCCATCTCCTTCATGGGGCTACTTGATATAGGGAATAATATTATTTATAACATGCTTGCTTTGATGGATTTCCAGTTTCTAAACCAAAAAGCCTGATCTGCAGATACACGACAACCGTGGTTGATGTCTGAAGATAATGCTACTTTTTTTTTTTTTTAAACAGCCTTTCTGTAAGATTAATGTGACTGAAAACAGGACTATTAAATTTACTCATTCTTTGGCCTTCATTCTATTTTCAGGTCTTCTGGAGAGATAGCATTTTATTGCTTTGATATTCTGCTGTTTTCAAGTTTAACTGTTTTTTCAGACCAAAATCTTATTTAAAAATAGACTATTTCAGGTTTCTCTCTCACTGATGTTATTTTAGCAAACATTTTGTAAAATTCTTGAATCACTTAGCTAATGAAGGTAGAGGTGGATTTGCATGGGTGTAGATAACTGAGTCACTGTGAGACATTTGATTGTTGAAACAAGAAGGGACAGAATCAATTCATTCCAAGTAAAAAGTATTTGAAGCTTATATGTCTGCAGGTGAGATGACTAAACCTACAAAAGGACAGCAATACAACATGTATTCTGACTTCTACCTGCCTGAATATTCCAACTGAAGCAACACAACTAGTGTGACATTGTTTTAGTGCTGGGCTAAAGAAGGAAAGGCTAATTTCCAGCTTGTTCCTGAGAGCTGCGTTGTTCTTCATGTCAAAAGAAAAAAAAGAAATGAGCTTAAAATAACAGCTGACAATCAGAGATTCTAAATTAATCCTTCTGCAGTGATCTGTGAGGATGTTTCCCACTTGCTTTCCTGATCTTTTGAGCAGTGATGGAGATGGTTTCTGGAGTCAACACAGAATTGGTTGGGTTAGGGATAAAATCAAGGAAGCAATCCTCAGCCTGGCTTTGAAGTGCTGTTCTGGTGTTTCCTGGTGTGATTGCCCCTCTCTTCCTTAGGGCTTTCCAGCTTGTCTTCCTTTTCTCTTTGTGGTCACATGGGTTGGTTGGTTCAACCCTTGGTGACCATCTGTGAAGAAATGGGGCTGAAGTGATGTCCTCGATTATTCATCAGACCTGGATTTCTGACTGCCCAGAACAGTTTTAGGAAAGTGTCACAAATTGCTTTTTATTAAAGCAGACAGTAAAATAAGTTGGCAGTTTTAATTTTAACCATGTAAAAGGTGTTGCTGCCCTGTGTCACGACACAAGGTTTGTTAAATTGGTGTGCCTGGTTATGTTGTGTGCTGTTCAAACCTTTCTTCTCCACATACAGAAGATAAACTGGGACTTTGTTAATGAGAGCTGGATTCAGCATTGGTGCTTACTTTTGTTTCAACAGAGTAAAATAGTCCGTGTCCTGAACCTTTGGCAGAAAAATGGAGTATTTAAAATTGAAATAATTCAGCCTCTTCTGGATATGGCAGCAGGAACTAGTGCCACTGCCCCAATGGCAGAGAATGCTACTAACAATGAAGGTAGGAATGAACATTTTAACTTCTGCCTTCAAAGGGCAAATGGCAATACCTCTTTGCTTTCACAGGAAAGCACCTGCTCTTAGTTCCAGCAGCAACATGTCCATAAACTTACCTTTGTTGTCACAATTAAGTGGAGCAGCTGAACTTATTTTGAATAAATGCTGATACTGTGCCTGGTGAGCACTTAATTGGAAAATACCTGAAATATGTATCACAGATATTCATGTGCACATACATATGTGGACACTTACAGATGACTTCTGTGTCCCCTCTTAAACAAGTACTTTTTCTTTTGCTTTGAAATATTTGTCTGTTGTATCTCAGTTTTCCAATTCTGATGTAATTTTTTAATGTAGAATCCAGATGAGTAAAGTGGGATCTTACATGTTAAGAGCTTTGTCTTTCTTTGGATCAGTTTAGTACCTGAAAGCAGCAGCTGTCGGTGTCTCAGTGTGAGCCCCGGGACACTTTAACTGGTGTTTCACATCCAGATTCTCGAACAGTGCAGTTCTGTCTGGGCCTTTGCACGGGCTGGAAAGCACTGACCCACAGAGCAGAGCAGGGAGGGCCTGCCCACAGTGCTGCACTGACCTATTTTGTGCTCCATGAAAAGCTGGCAGTGAGGTTATGGAGCAGTGGAGGAGAATACACATTCCACAATTCCCTCTTTCTCCAGAGGGCCTGTGTTTTGGCTCTGCACTCTGTGTTTCACGCTGAGCTCTGGTAACCTCCTTATTCATTGTGTACCTTGGAGTAGGACTGGGAAAAGTGGAATGGAGTGAGGGAGGGGTGGTGACAGACAACAAAATAGTGATGCTCAGCAGCACAAGTGGGAGCCTCTCCAGCTGTGTTTAGGGAAGTGTATCCCATGAAATGTGGTGGCTGTGCAGTTTCATTCTGCTGGGACAGGCACTGCCCTTCCAGCTGAGTGTCCTCACTGGTGGCAAACAGGTTGGCTGCCTTCTGCAGAGATTTTCAGTGAGATTATTCACATGCACCAGAGGGGATAATTTGGCCCTGAAATAAATATGCTAATGAATAATAATAAATATATTAATGCGTTATGTGAGATACAATCTGTTTAGCCCATAGAGAGAAGAATGCGAATTTTCTCCCTTGAGCAAGAAAATATCCTTCTGAATATATACAGGAAATAAGTGGGGAGTTACTTCATGCTTAAGAACAACCATATACCTTTTTGCAGTATTTTTATATTGCATTTCACTTCTGGGAAAATATTAAACACGTTTGTCTCTGCTTGCTGCTTGTCAACACTGGAGTTATTTGAAGTACAAACAGAGGAATGGCTTTAAAGGAGATGGTATTGCAAGGCAAACGTGTTTGCTTAGTATTTCAAACTAAATATTTTTATCTGTGGAGTTTCTTTAACTGTCACTCCTTGTACAGCTCTATTATGTCCATTAAAACAAATTTGCTAAAGAATAGTAACTTGCTCACAGTGTGGAGGAATTGATGGTATTATTGCTAATTTACCTCGTACTGGCAAAATGTTTATTAAAATAGGCATTTTAATGTAAAGCAAAGAGAATGAGAAAGCTACATATGTAGCCAAAGCTGTCAACGTGTCCTAGAGTGTGATCTCAATTTCAGTAAAGCTCCTGGAAATGGGAGTCTTTTCCTGGAAGAATGAGTAAAAGTAATTTTTCTGGTGGGAGGATTTATCCATCAGCTGCAGGTGTGGCTTGTGCCTGTGCAAAAGGGGCACGTGAACAGACCTTACCAAAGAAAATGAGCTGCCTGTGAGATAATCTCTAATTATTACCAGAATTCTCAGAAAAAGTTCAGTTCCTGCTAGAAAATAGAAAATGTTAGGAGGAACTCAGTTGCTCTTCAGATGAGCCATGAGCCCAGAACCATCACACAGTGATGATGCTCGTTGCCTCACGCTGTTGGAGTCAGAGCTGTTCTTAACTTGGACACTTACAAACAGGGAGCCGTGCTCTAAAATTCCATGTGGGACCAGCTTCCAGATGGGCCTTTTTTCTTTCCTGGTGCATACAGTGTGCACGTGTGGGCAGTGGCTGGGGCAGTTCATGGCAAAGCAAACGGAATGTGCAGTTGGGGTGGTGTAAATAAGGAATTTTGTGTTAAAGAGGGGCTTGTGGCCAGGCCCTTGTTTTGAGGAGGCAGGTGAAGAGCAGGGTGAGTGTTCTGGAGTGACACAGCCCTTCCTCTGCTCCTGTGGATCCCTCAGGTTCGCCGCCCCCTCCGGCAAAGGTCCCCTCAGAGCCCCCTCAGGTGACTGCGAACTCAGTGCCCACCGTGCCACAGCTGCCCAGCTCCGATGCCTTCGCAGCTGTAGCTCAGCTGTTCCAGACAACACAAGGACAACAGGTAACCTGCTTGTTGGTTCCCTTCTAACTCCAGCTTTTACATGAAACGAGGGGAGAAAATGATGGAATTAATATCCCCCGTTTGAAGCAAAGCAAAGAGCCTCCTTAAGGTCTTCAGTGGAGTCAAAGAGTACTTGAATTATCTGTGACCCTTCCATCCAGTAATTGTGGTATTTGGGGAAAATACAGTTAAATATCCCATATTGTTAGTTGTGAATTGATGCAGTTACGAAGTTTCCAGGACAAGTGGAATATAAGAAAGAAAATGTGGAGTGCTGTTGTTCAGTCCACTAAGCACTTGCAGTGCTGAGGGGCCTGAGTCCTACAATGTTGGGATCTGCTGAATTTTGCCACTGAAGTATTTAAAAAGTGACTCTTGATCTTGCTAGAGTTCTCTCTAGTTCAGTCAAGTTACTGGTATTCATCCTGTGCCATAGTCTGGTTTGACATAAAAGTTATATCCTACAACTCTTTTGATGCTTTGTGTTTATATCAGAACATATTCTTAATACTACCTTGTGGTTTTGTAGCTTCAGCAAATCCTGCAGACTTTCCAGCAGCCTCAGAAGCCCCAGTCACCGGTCATAGACAACACTGTGATGGCTCAGGTTCAAGCTATTACTGCTCAGCTGAAAACCACAGCAGCTCAGGCACCAGAGCAAAAAGCTGCTTTCCCAGCACCTGAGCAGAAAACATCGTTTGACAAAGTAAGCCTTGGTTTGTTCTGTGTTGAACCTCCCCAGAACACAACTGTGGGGATGGTACCTCAGTGTCCTGTGTTAGTTTTTAATTTTGTTTCTTCTCTTTTTCCATTTGGAGGTTGGCTTCCTGCTTTTATGGCCTTTGCATTTTCTGAAGCTGAAGAAAACTAGTTTTGGACAGTTTTTATTCTGTATTAGAACATAGGTTTTTATTTTTCCCCCATTCTAACCTTGTCTTGAATTCCAGAGCTGTTAGATATGCAGTAAAACTGTGATAGTAAAGATATTTTGGCTGCCAGTTCTGTCAGATACAGAAAAAATAGTGGGCACAATGTGATTTCTTTCAGAAACTTCTAGATCGGTTTGACTATGATGATGAACCAGAAGCAGCGGAAGATGCAAAGAAAGAAGATTCAGCTCCTTCCCCTTCAGTGTCTCAGCCGGCTTTGTAAGTTGTGTGTCATAACAAAACTAAGAAATTTTTGTTCTAAAAGATTTTTAGGTTAGAAAGTGGATTAAAATTCGAAGTTACTTCAGTGCTTAACTGTTACAGCCCAAATTTAAAACACTGTTAACAATTTCTGTTAACAATTTTTGGCGGGGTGGTTTTTATGTCTCTTCACTTTGATGATGTGGTGTGGGTTTATGTAACGTCACTGATTGAGGACTGTGTTCTGTAGAGAAAAGCTTAGCTTGGATTTCAGGATGTGTTTATTGCACAACTGAGTGTGTCAGGGCATTGTTAGTGATCGGCTGGATTGCTTTGCTGGCTGGGGAAAAGATGCTATTCCAAACATTTTGATGGTTTTAACTACTTAAGAAATGAAGATTGGCTTAAGGTTCTCGAACATTCAGTCCCCCCACAAACGAGCTCAGAGTCCTGTTTCCCTTTTGCTGTGCGTTATGATAAAGTCTGGAATGCCATGACCACATCCCAGTTTTCTCCACAGGACCCCTCTCTCATTCAGTGCACAGGCTGGATGGTGCTCAATGCCGGGGTTAGTCCATATTTCTTTTTTCCCTGCTTCAGTCCGTGGCCCTATGTCTTACTTTCTGTATCTGCATCCAAACCCTGCTCTCAAAACCAGAACCACTAACACTCTCATCAGCTTTCTTACTGTGTCTCTCACCTCCAGCACTTTTATGTTTCACAAGTACTAGTTAATTAAAATGCCTTTGAAGGAAATTGGTGGTATTTTCCCTAGAGTACAGGTGAACTCTGGAGTACAGAGAGATGAGGTAGGTCACACATAAGCACTGCTTGTGCCTGCCCAGCCAGAGGCTTTTGGGCATGTTTATGTTGTGCTGGCAGCACTTCAGAGCCTCTGTCTTTAGCACCTCACACTTGTGCAAGATGTCCCTGAAGGTGGAATTCCAGTATTCCCAGTATGGGCACACAAACTCAGTCATTCTCTCTATGAAAAACAGATCTGTCCAGAACTTCTGCAGAGTTTTGTGGCACCCGTGTCTTCAAATAGTGCAAAGCTCCATTTCCCATCACCGTGAAATTCCTGTATCCTCCTGAAATCCAGTTCAGTTTCCTGCAGGCAGGTCCTGTTACCTGCAGAGCCCTCCTGAGTTCCCTGAGCACTGTCCATGCTGTGTGTTGAATCAGGAAGGGATTGGCATCGCTGTAATCCTGCTGTGATACACATCCTGTGCTCCTCTGCCCTATTTCCTCCCAAACCAAGGTGGTTGTTAACAGCAAAAGTACAGCCAGTTTATTTTCCTTGAGGAAAATGTTGCTTCTTTTGTTCCCAGAAGAGGAACTGGAGAGGAAGAAGTTTAGCCTAAGGCAGACAACCTTCCTGAAACATTTCCATAGGCTGAGATCTTTGTAAGTCAGGGGAGAGAGGGAGGCTCTAACCTTTGTGTAGCATTGCTTTAAGTGATAAAGGACTACTCTTAGAGTGGAAAAAAGATAAGGAAGCCACTCTTTCTCTTTTTTTTTTCTTTTTGTTGGAAATGGGATCATAGTAGAGATACTTTTTCGGTTTAAAATTACAGCAAGGCTGTGTAAATGTGTATAGAAATCTGGAAAATAAAGAGATCTGTGTATGTACTGACTTGTCTCACTAAAATATTCCTGGTTTCAGTGGGTTTCCAGCAGAAGGCATGCAACAGCCAGTATTTCCTCAGCTCCCAAATATGGATCCTTTCCAGCAGCGGATGATGGGAATACAGCAGGATCCAATGCGTCACCAGGTAACTTCAGGTTCTCCCTCGTCCCTCTCTGGTGTTTTCTATCTTTTGCTTGTTTTCTTTGGTGGAGAAATAAGGAAGTGGTTTTGCTATTGTGAAGAGTGAATGTGGCTTAGCCCTCAATTTTTCTAAAGAAACATATCTTTGTTCTCTGTCCCAGTCAGGCTTTGAAGAACAAGATTGTTTTCTACATCTAAATGCTTGACCTACTTCATCTTTCCCCCATCTTTTATTGTGACTTTGGAGCACAGATACAACTTAACTTGAGCAAACTGGGAAAGCCAATGTAATTTCTTTTCCTAGCTGGATTTTTTTTTTTTTTTTATTCTCTAAAGGTCCCACTTCCTCCTAATGGGCAAATGCCAGGTTTTGGTCTCCTGCCTACCCCCCAGTTCCCACCCATGGCTCAGCCTGTGATTCCACCAGCAGCACCTGTGCAGCCAACTTTCCAGTCTCCTTTTCCAGTCCAGACTGAGTCACACATGCAGAAACCCCATCAGCAGGTGAGGAGCCTTTGCAGTAAACAAAGTAACTTAAATGCTCTCAGACATGTGTTTTTCAAATGTATATGGATTGTGCAGGAGCAGAAGTGTCAGGATATCCAGGACAAGAGCTGGCTGTGAGGGTGGCTCCATTGGGACATGGTTGGATTAAGCTGGGGGGCTCCAGGACGAGTCTGGCAAAACCAGCATGTGTGTGCTTTCTGCTTCCTCATCTTCCCTCTCCTGTCTCCATCATATTTCAGGAATATTTTGTGCCATGGAATTCTGACAATGCAATCTTCTTGTGTGAAGAAACCGCCTGGAAAAGTTAATTTGTAAGGGCCTGGTAGAATGTGAATGTAGTGGAAATGGACTCAAAATCTGTAACAACTTAAAATCCAAGTAAATGCTTTGGTTCCTAAGGGTTTTCAGGATATGTAGGTTCAGTAACTGGCTGCTATTAAGAAGAAATCAAAGAGCAAGTCTATTCGTGAGCCTATATATGTGTGTGTATATATATATATATTTAAAAGTTTATTTGCCTCTTTTGTTCCAAGAAAAGGAAATCCTGAACTGAGAAATAGAGATGGTACCAAGCTGTGATATCACAGATTGTAGAAATCAGTTCTTGCTTTGACTTAGAATAAAAGGACAATTCTCAAGAGTGTCTTTGTAATTAGTTTTTTTAGTCTAGAATTCTGTTGAATCAGTACATTTCGAGAGAGGGCTTTTTTAGGTGTTCCCTGCTGGGGTCATATAATGAAAACTTCAATTTATTTTAAAATTTAAATTAAAATTTAAAGTCTAGGCAGGATGCATTTATGTTCTGGAATGGGAAGCTGTGGAAGATTTGGGGTAGGAAGGAAGAACTGTGTTGGAATTAGTTTTTTTTTTTTTAAGCAAGTTCTTGCATTTTATGTATTGCTTTGACTTTCTGCTTCATTTTTCAAATTTCTTACAGTGTGCTTACATACAGGGCTTAAAGTAGTTTTTAGTAATGTCTTGGAGAAGAGCTGTAGTAAACCTCACTTTGCCTGTAGCTTTGACACAGCAGGATCCACCGACTGACTTTAAGGAGAATAATCATATTCTGTGGAGATGGACTGAAATATGGAAAAAAGATAATATGCAAATTGAAAACAAGAGTTGTTCAGATTATTTCTATGCTGTGTTTTCAGTGGTTGTGTTAAGTACATGTAATACTGGACCCTCTCTCTGTCAGTGACACAGAGCAGAGGTGAGGCTTCTGAGGGAGAGCCACGTTACTCTTTAATTTCACACATTTGAATATTCAGTGTAATTTTAGTGCTGTTACATAATTTAGTCTTGGCATAAAAAGAAATAAAATACTTGTGCTGCTCACCCATAACACCAGTCAACTTCATATTTTAGGATATGGAAGTGGAGCAGCCACCTGTTCAGGAGGGCAAACGGCACGTTTCTGACAGCAGGAAGTCGAGATCTAGATCTGCATCAAGGTAAATCAGTGAAAGCTCTTTTAGTGCAGAAATGAGAGCTGGATTAGTGACTAAGAATTATGAACCCCTGAAAGTCATCTCCCCTCTGAGGGAAGTTGGGTATCTCTGCAGTTCTCTTACTGGGAGAGAGTAACTTCAAGCCTGTCAATAAACTCCCATTTCAGTGGCAGAATTCACTGGAAATCTCTTTTTTAGCCGTTTTTTTTTGTAGAACCAATAAACATTTTGCTCACCGATGTGACACACGTGGCTTTGGTTCACACCAGGTCCCCCAAGAGGAAACGCTCCAGGTCTGGCTCCCGGTCCCGGCGCTCCCGTCACCGGCGCTCCCGGTCGCGCTCCCGGGACCGGCGCCGACACTCCCCAAAGTCACGCTCCCAGGAAAGGCGGGAACGGGAGCGGGAGAGGGAGCGCAGGTCCAAGGGCCTCCCCCAGATCAAGTCAGAAACTGTCAGTGGTAAGTTCATTCTTTCTTTTATTGTGGATGCAACTTTGCAAATACCAGTAACTACCACTTTTTTGAGCAATATTCTTTACATTGTTGTGTTCCTCTTCCTTGGGTCTCCAAGATTCATCCAGACAGAAAAAAAGTAAACTGCACTGTGACTTGTTTTCTGAGCTGTAAAGCTGGTAGGACTTAAATTCACATCCCTGCACTTCCTTTACTCATAGTAGACAGTTTGGCATTTTTGGAATATCTCCAAGTTGGAAATACTTTGGCTATAAATGAGAAGAAAAAGTTGCAGCCCCATGTTTTTATTTTCCTTCCTTTGGGACCTGCAAGCTAAAGCAGATTAAATAACAAGTTGAGTTGGTTGTAAATTATTACAATTTTTCTAATTATTCAGTGTTGTGTGTCTCTCAGACCTGGAGGGGAGCTTTGACCTGGAAAACACAGGCTGAAATAATCTGAAGTAATCTTGGCTTTGCCTGTGTTTATAGACCAAACATAGTAGTTGTCTTCTGAATATGCCTTTGGAATGTGGAATCTTCTCTGGGGTCATCATGTAAAATGAAAGCATTCTCTTATGTCTCATGTAAGAGACACACAAACTTGAAGAGTTTTAACAAGCCAAAACCTAGTGAGTGACAATTCCAGTAGTGTAAAAGGACTGCAGGGCCTTGGCAGCTGTTCACGGAAAGCTCCCTGGCAGTGGTGTGAGATGTGCCTCTGCCAGCACCTCTCCCAGGTTGTCACTTAGTGCTGTCACAGTTTGCAGTTTTGTATCACTTACTGGGCAAAACGTGGCTGAGTATTAAATGTTGCTGTGCTAAAGTGCAGCCAGTGTGATACTTTGAGCTCAGTTGCTGGTTTATTACCCCGAATTCAGCATGAAGTGAGATAAATGGGCTGCTTACTCTGTCCTGTAAGAGGAGCTTGTGTCAGTAATGGCTCTCCCAACCTGAGTTAACTCTCTGTTGCAGTTTGTAGTACCACACTTTGGGTAGGACAGCTTGACAAGAGGACAACTCAGCAGGATGTTGGAAGTCTTTTGGAAGAGTTTGGCCCCATTGAGTCGATCAATGTGAGTAATAAATGCTGCAGTGTGAGCTACTTTGATAGGCTTGGTTACAAAAAGTGTTTCCAGGCTGCTCTAAGACAGCTTTATTTTTATAAATTCCAAAGAGTTGAGCTCTCACTTCCTGCATGTTGTGCTTTTTAATGTGTAGACTCAAATTAGTTTGGCTGAGTTGTAGACAAAGAACGGAGTTGCTTTGGGTTCTTGCAATTTAAAAATGCAAATAAAACAGAGAAGATTATGCCATTTTCATAAAAATCCTGCCTTCTCTGGAGAATGAGGAAGAGCTAGATGCCTGCAGAATTACATCCTGTGCTGCTAAGTTCATCTGCTCCATTTTGTTTGAGTACAGAAATGTGGACCCTCAGCTGGTGTTATTTTAGCCATAAACACAGAACTGTTGTTTTGTTTAGCTGTATTTAAGGATATTTTATATGTATAAATATATAAATGCATACATATAAATATATAAATAATAGCTGTTAAAATTTCATTGAAACAAACAAAAAGAAGCGACTGCAATTTTCTTCCTACTCCAAATTTTGTAAAACAACATAGGAGATTTTTCTCAAATTCATTATAAATAATAAAAATTATTCCAAAGCTGCAGATAGACCCGAGTGTGGAGGTGCAGCTGCCAGCTCATGGTATATGGAATGAAGGGGGGGGTATTGGTGTGTCTTCCAATGAGGTAATTGATTGCCAGACCACAGCATTTACGTGTTTAGCAGTTTGAAAAGATTAAATATACCAGAGTCAGCCATATTTTAGAGTTTAAAGCTTTCCACTTCAGAAGTTGTGGAATTTTTAGTTTATTAGAAATGTGTACTTCCTGAAGATAGTGGCTTTCTTGGCCTCTTAAATTATATTCCCTTCCATACTTCCATAGCCCTTTTTGGAACACCCTCTGATGTCCCAGCTTGCTGTAACTGAACACTTGTGTGTTGTTCATTGCTTTTTTATTTGCAAAACCAATTTTGTTCCTTAAACCCCAACCAGATGATCCCCCCCAGAGGATGTGCCTACATTGTCATGGTGCACAGACAAGATGCCAACAGAGCCCTCCAGAAACTGAGCCGAGGGAACTTCAAAGTCAACCAGAAATCCATCAAGGTACTGCTTGGAAAATGTCAGGATTTCTAAAGCTGCTGGAATTACTGTCATCCTTTCTTATCTGTTGTTGGATATTTGTCTCATAAGAGTTTCATTACATATGATAATCCTACAAAGATACTAATAAATAAGGAAGGATGCATTAAATTAGTGAAGTTCTTCCTTCTGTGGAACATCATATTAGAGTCCTCCAAGGGGAACTGGAATTAATCTTAGTGGCTGGGGAACATGGGAAGAAACTGGCTTTATACATTTTTACAAATAGTGAGCAAAACTCAAGCCAAGGAAAAAGAACTAAGTCTGCTTTAAAAAAAAAACAACTTACTTCAGTGTTGTAACTGTTTTAGTTACTGTCTTTGCCTTTTAGCCCCAAATGGTAGTGCTGTTTTGTGAGAAAGAAATATGAAATGCCTTAAAATGGAAACATTTGCCTGACTTACATGTATTTTCTCCCCCTCCAAGATTGCATGGGCTCTGAATAAAGGAATAAAGCCAGACTACAAGCAGTACTGGGATGTGGAGTTAGGTGTGACTTACATACCGTGGGACAAAGTCAAACCTGAAGATCTTGAAAGCTTCTGTGAAGGGGGAATGCTGGACAATGAAACTCTTAGTCCAGGTACAGCAGTGCTGCATGTTCAGTTGTGTGCAGTTAGTGAAGCTTTTATTTCAGGGTTGGGTCATTCTGTCCAATTTTTTTAATTATTTCTTTTTATTATTGTCAGAAATATGTATACATGCTTCTTATCTGAGTAGTTTCAATTAGGTCCTTTTCTAAACATCAGCAAACATGTTTCACCTCTCTGCTCCCTCTGAGCTGATCCTTGTCTGTTGGGATTTTGTGTTGTACAGAGTGGAAGGGAATCCCCAAGAAGTCTGAAAATGAAGTAGCTCAGAACGGAGGCGCAGAAGCTGCACACAATGAACCAGTGTCACCTATACCCAAAGCTTTACCTGTCCCCATCCCTGTCCCCATGCCTGCACCAATAACAGTACCTCCTCCACAGGTGAGAGTTGTTCCTCATTAACTTGGGATAAAGAAACAAAAACTTACTTTACATGATAATTCAGGGAGGAGATGCCATGAATGGTAACTCTGTTCTCTCAGTCAAAGAGAAATTACTGCAGTAGAGGTTTTTTTATTGATGGGCTGAATTGCATCTTCAGTTTGGTGATTGGCTTTTTTTTGTTTGTTTTCCTAATAATTTTCCCCTAAGAAAAAACTTTTCTATTGATAGATACACAGTTACTTTAATATCAGTCGTTTCTCGTTGCTTTTAAAATAGTAGTATCCCTTCTCCCAGACAGGAGGGAGTATGAATAAAACTGTCTTGCATCTTGAGAAAGTGTGATTTATGAACTACAATGTGGCAGGCACTCACAGAAGATCAAGAATTCAAATGATTTGAAGACATGTATAATTTAGCCAGTTATGGGATTTGAGAACATAATATGTTGAATTATGGGTTGTTTTGACACATGACTCTTGATGTGCTATAAACTATTATTTAGTAAATGAACAGTAAGTCAAACTTATAATTTCAGGAAGTTTAGTAGCCATTAACTGTATTAAATAGCAGTGATTTTGTTTATTTTCCTTAAATCCATGCTGAAAAAGGAAGTGTCAAGAATGAGCTTCTGCTGCAGGATTCCCACAACTGATTATTTTCTCACTTCCTGACCTTCCCTTCCCTTGTGCTTTCTCCTCCCTTTCTCCATTCCAGTCTCCTCCTTAGAAAACAATTCTCCCTCTAGTTATTTTTTCCATGTTGATCCCAGTTTGCTGCATCCCTCCCCAGATTTGCTGTTTCTGATATCATCATTTTGATTATCAAACTGTAATAGCACAGATTTAGTGTGCCTGGGCTGAGTAACGCTGATAAGGAACCCGAAGCAGGTTCTTTCAGTCCTGAGAATAAAACAGCAAAAGCTTGTCCTTCTTTCCTCTAGAAATAAAAAGTTATGAGGGGTCTTGGTGTTCTGAAATGTTGCTGGTCATGGAGGTGGTCAGTTATGGTCACTTGGGCACACAGCTCTTCTTTGCTTTATTAAATCCATTCTAAGTGCAGAGCATGTTTTTGATTGGATTTTTTCCTTTTGATTCCCACACATTTATTGTAGTTTCTGTAATAAGCTCAAAAATATGAGACTAAGGACCAACTTATTTAAATCAGAGCTAATTTAAATTCAGAGCTTGATATAAATCAGAATTAAAGAGGAAAAAAAAGGAAAAAATCACTATATTATAGTGTATAAACTCAGGTAGTAAGAAGGAAACAAGCAAAGGTTTTTAGTTGCTCCAAAGTCATGTGCACTGCATTGGATCCTCCTGGATGGAAATGAATCCCAGCCAGTGTGTGAAAGGTGTGTGGAGGTGAGCCACCAACATACATTAAAACCCATTTACCACAGAGAAGAATTTTTCTCTAATTATAAAGGTAAACAAGATTGGTGTTGATCTTGTGAGTGGCAGGAGTTCTTTGAGTGCTAATTAGGTCTCTTACACAAGCCTCACTTGCTGCGGAGGAATTTTAGGTTGTTTAAATGTTCCTGTTGTGCTGGGCAAAGCAGAGATCCCAGTGGGACAGGGAATCACCCGTTCAGTCTTGGGGTAACACGTTTTTCCCCTTCCTTTTTCCTTAGGTTCCACCACATCCCTCGGGGCCTCCTGTGGTTGGTGCACTCCAACCACCTGCTTTCACAGCCCCTTTAGGAATCCCCCCTCCTGGATTTGCTCCCGGGGTGCCGCCCCCGCCGCCGCCCCCGTTCTTACGGCCTGGATTCAACCCTCTGCATTTACCCCCAGGTACGTGGGGGGTGGTTCATTCACCCTGTGCTCTGCTGACCCCAGAGCACAGACCCAGCTGCACTGGGGTGTTGTGCCAAAGGGGCACTCAGGGGGCATCTGTATTTTGTAGGCTTCCTTCCTCCTGGGCCGCCACCACCTATAACCCCTCCGGTGTCTGTCCCGCACACTCCGGCAGTGAACATCCCAAACTGTAAGTGTTGGAGCCCTGTGGGAGGCAGGGGTCGTGCAGCAGGAATTGCTGCTGGTGGTTAATGTGTCCATGCCTTGTTCCTCAGCTACAGCAACGGGTGGGAGTGAGGACACTACAAAGGAGTCGTCTGTAGGAAATCCCATCCCAGTAGTTTCTGGAGGCAGAGGGAATGCTGAAACCACCGATAGTTCCAAAATCTATGGGACTGTTCCACCTCCTGTAGCACCTACTAATGTCCCTGCTCCTGTCACCCAGGCCGTCCCACTCCTTGGTAAGTGCTCTCTTGTGTAAGTTCTGCACTTCGTTGTTCCCTAAATTTAAAATACCATTTTGATTTAGCTGCTGACTTAGACTCCAGGGGAAAGGAAGCACGTTTTTCTCAACTTCTTGAAACTTCTGCCCTTCTGTTGGCTTTGAAATCACTTTTAGAGGCTTGATTTTGCACAGAAGAAGCAGTTTCATTTATTATTGAAGATATTTTCTGAAGAAACAAAGCTGTAATGTTTAAGTTACAAATTAAAATGCTGTCTACTTTTAGCAAGTGGATGTTTATATAGGATAGAAAATGAACTTTAAACAACACATCTGACATATGAACCAGGTTTTAGACTCAACTATTACATGTATAAAATTAACTTATTAACTATTTTTAGTGTATTTTTTTAAATCTGTGAGGATGTGGCACATACTTTTTTAATATATGGAATAAATTGTTTTAATAAAACAGAAAGCCTAAAGCTTTTATTCAGCCTTGCAGTATTACAGGTTTGGAAACCTTTGTAGGAATATATTATTAAATTGCCAAATGGTATTTTGATTACAAAACCAAAGTAGCTTGGGTATGTTGCATAAATTACTTTCCCCAACATGGTACAAACCTGGTCAGATTTTGAAAGGGAGTATGAACTGTTTAATGGTACAGAGCTCTGCTAAATGTTTACTTTAGGATGGCCTTTGATGGGCCAGTGTCAAGAATTGCCTCAGAAGACTTGTTACCTATGTATTTTAGTGAGATTATTGCATTTATGGGATTTCAGACCTCTAAATGACAGCTTAACGAATGAAAAAGTTAATTTTGTGTCAGTGGGTTTCTGCCCAGAACTTTACAATGTACACAGAAACTCACACCTTCATGGTGAATTGCACTTTTTGTGATGGCAGCACAGCACTACCAGAATTTTGGAGTTTTATGGGACTGTGTCTTGTACAGCAGAACCTGAATTTCTTATTCCAAGGCTGTGGAATGTATGAAGTTCCTCTGCCCTTTGCTGGACCGCTGCACATGTAATAAAAAGGTTTTACAACCTGAAGATTGAATTAAATTAGACACCCACATCGGTTCCTTGGGCAGCAACTGCTTTTTATTCTTACAAATCCCAGGAAGCTGAATTTGAGAAATCTGGAAGTCAAGAACTTGCCTTTGTTTTTTTTTTTGTGAACTTGTTCTCGGAGTGGTTGAGGCAAGTAAAGTGCACGTGATCAGAGTGACTTCTCTCAATGTTCAGGCTCAGGTTTTCTGAGCTCACAGAGCAGTGCTGGAGTAGTGGCTGAGATCTGTGTGTTTGCTTAAGCAGTAGCATTGGATGTTGATGGGTGTCTTATTTCAAGAAGTTATTTATAATCAAGGGGTTACATAAAACCCTTCCATCCTGATGTTCTGGAGTTGTGGGGACTGCTCACAGTCTGATACAAGATACAAGGAAACCAGAAGAAACATTATAATGTGATGTGATTTAAGAGAAAAGATTAATATCAGCTATCTTGGCTTTTTTGAACCACTCAGTAAGTTGGCACAAATTAAACTCTCCTTAAAAGCACTTTGATTCACTCCTGCATTGAATGGATGCATGGATGACCTGCACCAGGCCAAGCTCAAGGGATGGAGGTGGTTGGGAAGAGACTATCAGAGAGATCTAAACTTCTCCTTGCTTGGGATCACCTTCTGTAACCTGTACAACACACAGGAGCTCTTTAATAACTTTTGTAACTCCAGAATGAAGCTTCTTTCTGTTCAGTTTTTATATGGAAGACATGTTACAAAGTAATTCTAAATGGATTAACATTTCATACAGTTTCTCTTATAAATTCTGTCTCATCTCCACTGATTTCCTTCGTGCCTTCAATGTAATTCCTTCATCACTTCCAGCAAGGACATGGTTGTGCTTCAGGGGAGTGATCCCTTGTGGACATTGGGTCTGGATTTTTTGTGCCTTTTTCTAAAAAGCACCCTCAGGTTGTTATAATTTAGTTTGTCCTTGATCACACTCGCTGCTGTTACACCTCCCTGTTCATTAGAACAACACACTCCAGGCTGTGATGGCTCAGGGAGTGAGCACTCAGGGAATTTTCAACCACCTGCAGAGCAGGTATTTTTAGGTTCCTTCTATGTGTGCCTGTTGCAGGAAACAACAGCTTTTAAATCCTTTTGGAGTGGACAACGTGTTCTTAGTGCTGAGCAAATGTTTTAACTTGGGCCAGTAACAAACTGTAGATGCAGTGTTTGGAATATTCAGATTCTGTGATCCGGGTGAAATACAACCTATTGCAGTTTGTAGGGTCTTTTTACCCAAATTCCTACCAGGATAATGACATGTAATCAAAGCTTAGTTATCCTGGAGTTCCCACCGAACTTGGCATTCATTTCCTGGTAGTGCAAGCTCAGTCATTAAGTCTTTGCTCCCTTGCTGGCTTGTTCTCAAGTGTTTTTTGTAATCTGCATTAAATCATAAAACAGATACGACATTCTCTGAGCCCCTCTGAGTGTGGCTGTTACAAAGTGTTGGGATTGGTGGTGAGTTATTTCAGCTGTGACTCTGCAACCACCCTCCGGTTTGGGATGGGTTTTCCTACCTCAGTCCTGCTCCCTCCTGAGCACACACAGTGCAAGGTCTGAGGGCCTGTAACTGGGCAGCACCAGTGACAGTTATAAATAACGTGAGTTGCGAAGGCAGTGTGTGGTTTTACACATCCAAAACAACACAGAAGAGCAGGTAAAAAGGATGAGGTTTCTGTCTTGACTACGAGAAGCTGGTCAGTAAATCACCTCAGGGTCTGCCTCCGGGCTCAAGGAGTTCTTACCCAGTGTGGGAAACCAGTGTTATTTACTGCCTTTCTCTGCATGACACAACAAAGGCTCTAAATCTTCTCAGACCTGTCACCACGTGCGTCTGTACCATGAATTTTCCTGAGCATTTTCAGTAAACAAGGGTGTGTTTCTGGACAGTTCTGCAAGTTTTTATTTGGTGAGGAAACTCTGGTCGTGCTTCTACAGCTGATTTAGCCTTGACATTGAAGGGGGCTGATATTCAAAGAGTGTTCAGAGTGAAAGAGGGGGAGTTCCAGGTACCATTATGCTGCTTCAGTGCTGCAGTTTGTGGAGAAATTAAATTACTTGTACTTATTAAATGTGAAACTTTTCTCTCTTGCCTCATGTTCCTGCTGTTGTAGCCCATGTCTGCTCTGCTGCTTCTAAGCAGAAGCATAGGCTTGTCCTCTTCAGCTCAGTAGTTCTCAGTTATTCTGTTCTGCCTTATTTTTAATCTTCTGTGGCAGATCAAAAGATGTTTTTTTTTTCAACAAGAATATCCCCAAACCTCAGAATTCCTGGGAGACATCATTAGCCCTGTGTCTTGGCTTGTCAGATCCACAGTTCTGTCATGGGAGGAGTTTCAGCTCAGTGATTACAGACCTGGTGATGAATGGGAGGAGGGAGGACTCTGCATTTTAGAGTTAAAAAGGAAGGGGGGAAAGTGCAGTTTTCACTGCTGGCACTGCCAAGTCTCTTAATTCCAGCATTACTTTCCACAGCTATTCCACATTGTGGTTCTACCAGGGCAGGAGCTACAAAAGTTGGCGTAACATCTGTTTTTAACTTTCATTTTTATTCATATATGTGAAAACATTACAGTCCCAACAGATTGATACAGGAACACCACGCGCCCCAGGCAGGGACCGTGTTTGCAGGGCAGGAGCACATGGAGCAGGAAGGTGCAGTGTGAGGGCTCATGGGACGGTGTGTTCCTGGCTCAGCCTCGAGGAGGCTCCTGTCCACCCTGGGAAGGCCTCAGGTGGAGCTCAAAATTCCTCCTTCCTCCTCCATTCTGGCTTCTCCTGTTGGTGTCGCGCTGAGCTTTCTCCAACAAGATGTTTGGAGAGGGTCATTTTTTTCATCTTGCGAAGAACGTGCTAAAAACAAGAGTCCAGGAATTAAAACAGAAAACAGTTGGTGTTGGATATGTGCTGTAAAGGATGAAGGATTGTATTTCGAAAAAAAGAATCTAGAAATTAATTACCTGTTGCATTTCCTTTTATATATTATAATATATATATTTTGTACCAGGAAGGGGCTCTGGCTGCAGTCAGAGGAGGTGAGGGGCTGAGGGGGGGCTCTGACCTGCAGCAGGGCAAAGGAGGCCTTTGGGATCAGGGATGAGTTCCTGCCATTGCCACATCTTCCCTTCAGCAGCACACAGAGGTGTGTTTGCACCTGGGCGGCGCAGGAAGCTCCGCTCCAAGTTCTCGTGCGCTCTTTTCCTGGGATAACTGCAAAGTGGGTTTGGAGCTATGGAAATGCCTTGTGTTCCCTGCTGCCAGGCTCTGACTGTCCCTTGTGTGTTCCTTGCAGGCACCCAGGGCGTGGCACCGCCCCCTCCAGCCCCCGTGGTCGGGCTCCAGACTCCATCCACCGGGCTCCTGGGTGCCCGGCCCGGGCTGATCCCGCTCCAGCGGCCGCCGGGAATGCCGCCCCCGCCGCTGCCACGCTTCCCGCTGATGCCACCGCGCCACATGCCCCCCCACATGATGCACAGGGGGCCCCCGCCGGGGCCGGGGGGCTTTGGGATGCCTCCCCCCCACGGAATGAAAACCCCCTTCCCCCCGCCGGGGCACTTTGTGAGGCCCGGGGGGGTCCCGGGCAGCGGGGGCCCGGGCGGACCCGAGGAGAACAGGGACGGGCGCCAGTTCAGGAATGACAGGCAGACGTTCACCCCCAACAGAGACCAGGAGAGGTTCGGAAGGAGGTCGTTTGGGAACCGGGTAGATAACGAGCGTGAGCGCTACGGGAACCGCGGGGACGACCGGGAGCACGAGCGCCTCGGGAACCGCGAGCGGCGCGACTGGGGCCGGCGCAGCCCCGAGCGCGACAGGCACAGGGACTCGGAGGACAGGAACAGGCGCTCCAGCGGCCACCGAGACAGGGAGAGGGATTCCAGAGACCGGGAGTCGCGCAGAGACAAGGAAGAAGGCCGCAGCAAGGAAAAGCCGGAGGTGACAGACAGGGCAGAGGGCGACAAAAACCACGAGTCCCACGGCGGCAAAGCGGCCGACGCAGACATTGTTTCAGAACTCGCGGCGGGAGAGTCCGAACCTGCGGGTGCGAAACCTGCGGAGGAGTCGGCACCCGAGGCTACCTCATCCCTGGAACAGGCGGACAAGGACACGGGCTCCGTGGCGGAGGCTCCGCGCTGAGCCCGGGCCCTGCCGAGCCTGGGTCGGAGTGTCGAGCTTTAGTTGTACAGTGCTGTAAATCCGCTGCCGCCCCCGGCCCTGCCCAGCGCAGGGGCCCCGCCAGCAATTTGATTGCTTCCCCTCCTATTTAAAAATAGCCACAGCATAACATAAATACTGAAGAGATGATTAAATATTACCCGTTTTTGCTGTAACTTTTTTAAAGTTTTGACTTTAAAAAGTTTACGAATCAGAAGTAGAAGTGCTTTCTATTTTGTTTTTAATTTAAGAAAAAAGTAACGGTGAAAGCTCCTCAAAAACAATAGGGATGTGTTTTTAATAAACTCTATTTTCGTAACAAACTTTTAACGTGTGCTATTCTTCCTACGCTGCACTGAAGTGGAAAAGGAGTGTTCAACAGCCTAAAGTTGGAACTGTTCATGCTGTACTGGAGTCTAAATTAGACTGGTTTGGTTCTGTTTGTGAAAGGAAATCCACCTGATTGTGTAGCGATTCACAGAAGCAAGTTTTTATTTGTAACAGTCCTCTGGAGTTTTAGATTGCTGCATTTTAATGAGATACTTGACCACCCTGGGTAAAAGTTAGTTTTGAGATGTTAATTGCAGAGTTAACTGTTTGGTGTTTGTTTGCAATGCAGTCCATTCTTTGCTTTATTTTTTATTTCCTCCCCCTCGATTGGTTCTGTGGTTCCTGCTGCCCTTGATTTGCCTTTTTTTAAGAAGTGACACCTTCAGGCACATCTGCTCTGCTGTTCCAAGGTGCGTGCTGGGCTTTTCTACCTGTCAGCCACTGATGCTGCTGGAAAGTGAGACCTCAGAGGCACCATAACCTGCTGTAAATTGCCAACCTGGTTCTTGAAGTGGAGCTGGGACAAGGATTCTGCCGCTTCCTCTGGGATCAGGGCTGCTTGGGTGGGAACGCCGGCCCCTCCTCACCCTGCCAGAGGTAGGTTGTGCCCCCCCTGGTGCTGTGCCTCTGGGCTGGGTGTTTCCTGGTGTTCCTGGAGTTCTGCCACCTCCTCTCCATAGCACTTCCATGGTTGTGTCAGTCTGGATGAGGGCAGTTTCCTGGTGGCCGATCCCTTGGGCACAGACAGTTTGGGAAGTCCTGCCCCTCCAGAAGCACCATAGGAAATGTGTTTGAATCCTGTGCATATTTAATGGATTTTTTTTTTCCTTTCTATTGGTGTGTTCTACCTTTAAAGTTGGGTTTTTCCCCAAGGAAAGGGCAGCTGCTTCCCTAGTCCTTTTTCTCAGCTGCCCTGTGGAATTGTCTCTGGGGGAGGGAGGGATGGGAGAGCCAGTGTGGAGCTCTGGATGGGGGAGAGGACATCTATTTTTATGTTCTTGCAATAGCAGAATAAAGAGAGAAAGAACCTGTTTACACATTGCAGTGAACTCAACTTCCATGTGTTAAAACTCGTGTCCTCACTGGTTGTTTCCTGCTGGGCCTGTGGGACATTCCTGTGTCCAGAGAACACCAGACACTGAGGTCTGAGCCTTGGAAAAAGCTGCCTCAGCTCTGTAAGGAGGGAGGGTTTGTCTCACTGCGTTGAAGAGCTGGAGACAAGAATGAAAGGGGCAGAGGCTGCTCTGTTCACACAAACCCCACCTCACCTTCTCTCCCTTTCCCTCAGTAGGGAGCTGAAAGCAGAGCCTAGGAAACCTGTGGAGCAATTCCTTACTGCCTTCTGCAGCAGTGCCTGTGGAATAACCTCACAGTGACCCTCTGGAAGAGGCACAGGCAGGTGAAGACTCACACAATTGTCTGGCACCAGCAGGCAATGTAAGTTTAAAGTATTTTTACAGTATTCCTGCTCTACTCCCACGTTCCTTTTGTAACATTCCTCAGTGGAATGGGGTTATCTAGAACTGCAACCTGCTACTTCCATCAACATCCTTATGTACAAGATAAAGGCACACTGATACAAGTCCTCATTAAAATGATTAATTTTCTCTGTTAACGTTTCTCTGAAACGTTTCAGAGGGACACCCAGAAATGTGATGGAAGCTGGCACTGGCACAGAGTGGTTACTCCTGGCTGGTCCTGGGATACCACCTGGAAGCAACTTCCTGGATGCACTTAAACGACCCAGGCCCCCTTTCTTTTCCCAGCAGGTGCAGGTTTGGGGGTGTTCCCTGTTTACAGATAGCCAGACCCAGGTGTATCTGCCCAGAACATTTATTACACAGGCTGGAGATCTACAAATGCTGCACCTTCACCAGGAAGCAGCCCTGACACCCCCAGGGCTGCCGCTCTTTGCCAGGGTCTGGGATGTGAGCACTGCCCCCATCCTCCCTGGCACGCAGCAGGGATTTGCTCCAGTGAGGGATGCGACAGGGAATGTGCAGGTGTGTGAGCAGAGACCACAGAGCTGTTCCATGAGGGACACTTTAATTGCCATGTACATCATACAAAACGCCGTCAGTCTCAGCGGTTTAAGCGCTGCTCGGGATGCAGAGGAGCAGGAGATTAGTGACAAATCTTGGGCTTGCACGAGGAAGGGCAAGAGCAGCAATGGAGCAGCACTGCAGGTGCCACACTTAGCTCTTGGCGATCCCAATCACTCCGCAGGCCAGACGGGGCCCCGCGTTCCCTGTCAGCTTGCTCTCGTTGTCCCCCCCTCTGCCCAGGTCATCCCGCTTCTCGTGGACCTAAAAGAGAACTTGTGTTACTGCAGATCCCAATCCCCACATTCCACTGCTCCCAGCAGGGTCTCACACCACACAAATTGCACCATGTCAAACCCATATCCCTGCTAAAAACTCCCAACTGGACTTTCCTTCCAGTGTCCTCAGGTGCCTGTTTCCACACCTTCCAGTGACAGCATTTGTGCCAATTCCCTCCACAGACCAGTTCCTTCAGTAACCCACAGCTGGAAGGGGCAAAGCTAAAGGGAGAGGGACATCCCTAGAAGCCCAGCAGGAAACTGGGATCCCATTAACCCCCAGAGAGCCCCCTGTGCCCCTCAAGCAGCACCAGTCCCCCCACACTCACCACCATGGTGCGGCCGATGATGCAGTGAGGGCCGCTGAGGGAAATGACGGAATCCTGGATCTCCACCTCGGCCACTCCTCCCTTGGCAGTCACATTGCCCAGGTCTCCCACGTGCCTGCACAAGAACACAAGCAGACTCAGGAAAGGGGCTTGGATTGAAAGCTCTTCCAAGGGAAGGCTGGGACTTTATGTTGTTACTACACTCAGGCCACATGTGTCCAGAATCCCCCCCCTCCATGCCAATGGCATCACCCTCTGTCCACAGGCTCTCAAATTCCACAGATTAACCTTTCCTGCACAGACCAGGTTTGGTGGAACACTGCCACTGTTCCTAAGAGCTCTTAATGCCCATCACAGATCAGCTATTCCACAGGCTTTAGGTTTAAATAGGATTAGGAAGAGCAGTTTGTCAGGAAACAGGTCAAAGGGGACACAGGAGGTGCTCAGTTCCAGCCAGAAGTAGGGATGATGAATCCAGTTTGGCATTGCCCCATCACTTGGCATCCTGCTCTCCCACACAGCTTCTATCACAGCTACATCTCCACCCGGGCTTCCTAGAGAACTGTGCCTCGAGCAGTGGAGTTTTCACGGGACTTCTGGGCATTCCAGGATGCTGTTATGTCCTGCACACCCGCCCCAAACAAAACACTCACTCAAAATACAGCTGATCATGTTCTGCCAGACTCAGAACCTGGAATACCAACACATTCCTGAAACATTCCGTGCAGCTCAGCCAGGCAAGTGCTGAGCACCAGCTTCTTACACAGCACAAACTCCACATTTTTAACCAAGTCCTATAAAATCAGGTCAAGGGCAGCTTTCCCTTTAGGAATTTGCTTGATTTAGGTTTCCAGGAAGCTTCAGTCCAATTGTTTCAACTGGACACTGATAAAAGTCCTTGCACCCTCCTAAGGGATCCTGCTGCCCACAGCTGCCCTGGTGGGAGCAGGCAGGGCACAGCAGGAGCAGGATTTGCCAAAACCAAGCCTGCCAAAGCCTCAATGTCCATGCAGTCCCAACCTTCAGCCCCGAGCAGTGGCTGCCAGGCCCTGACACACCATTTCATGCTGTGTCATGCAGGAGCTGGCCCACAGCCAGCTCCCAGCTCCGCCTGGCCGGCAGCGATCCATCGCCCAGGTGGGATTCATCAGCCACACAGGGAGCACTCACGGACAGAACCCAGGCTGGTCCCGATGCCCAGCTGGTTCTAATGCTATCCCTGACCCTCCCTGTGCAAGGCCAGGCTTTAGGTTTAACCCCGCTCCCAGCTCTGCTCCCCTGCAGCTCCTGTGCTGCCCCAGCAAGCACAGTCACACAGCTCCTCAGGTGTCCAAGGGCTCCCAAGGGGAACTGGACTGTTGGAACTGCTCCCAGGGGAGGAACAAGGTCTTCCATCCCACTGAAGCACGGAGATACCCAGCAGGAGCACAGGCCCTCACTGTCCCCTCCTCCCAAGCCACCACAAAAACCACTGGCACATCCCGAAGATGATATTTTACCCCACACTCAGGGAGCCCACGTGTCAAACAAACTGCTGTACAGTGAGCACAGCCCCAGTGAGGTGACCTTACACATCCTGCAGGATTGCCAGGGCATCCCTGGGCTGTCCCCACCCAGCCCTGCACTCACCTCTCGGCGTCACTGGGGGCCCCGTGCTGTTTGCCCTCCGGGTTGAAGTGAGGGCCGGCACTGGTGCACCCTGGAACACAGCACAGGGATCCGTCAGGGCAAACCTGCTGCTCCCAGGGACCCATCAGGAAGCAGCTGCTCTCCTGTTGCATGTCTCGCTAATCCTCTGGGAGTAAATCACCCACTGCAGACTTAGAAGTCCAATTAAGTACATCTGCTTATTCCAGAGCTCCCTGGGCTCACTCGGGAGCTTTCTTATTTCTTAACATCGAGGTATCCAACCCTCCAGGCGACTGCTTGGGATGGCAGACCTTGACCACCAGCCTCAACACGTTCAGAGTATTACACAGGGAGCACTTCCTTGGGAAACGCCATACATTTCTTAACACAGATTTGCAGCTGCCAGACCCAAGTCCTGCTCCAACACTGCAGGAAGCTCTTTGAAGCTGAGCACCCACACTCCAGCCGTGGATGGACACCTTACCGTTTGTGTTGTCCCCGAATTCATGGACGTGGAAGCCGTGCTCTCCATCAGCCAATCCAGTGATTTTTCCAGTAACTTTCACCGGTCCACCACCCTTGAAAGGAAAGGATTTATCGTCACCACAAGGACTTTGGCATTACACGGCTCTGTGTCAAGCCAAGGTGACAGGAAGCCCTGCAGGCTCCTCCGCAAGCCCAGCACCGCCTTGCACAGAGCGTCTGAATTTATTTATCCACCTCTAATGCATCCTTCCCGTTATTTATCACCGAGCACAAGCGGCGCCCGTTATCTGGCCGTGCCTTCCAGAACGATCCCGTGCTTCCACTGGGAAGGGCAGATGACCCCGCAGCCGCTCCCCCGCCTCCCAGAGGCGACGGCGCAGCTCCCAAGGGCCGCGGCCATTTGGAACCGCAGCTCCCGCCGGCCCCCGGGGGGCGCACAGAGGCGCAGGCAGTGTCTCAGCCTCCCGGGGGGAGGCTCGGTGCCCGCGCCGTCCCTCACCTGCTGCTCGAAGTGGATGACGCCCTGCACGGGCCCCTCTCCACGCATCACGCACACGGCCCGCGCCGCCGCCATCTTGGTCCGCTCAGCTCCCGCCCGCAGCGCCCGCGGACTGCGGGCACGCCTCCCCGCGCTCCCCCTATATACGCCGGGCCGGCGGCGGGCGGCCAATCGCGCCGCGCGCCTCGCGCGGCCCGGCCAATCGCGGCAGGGGAACGGCGGGGGCTCGCGGCGGCGCGCGCGGGGGACGGCGGCGCCCCCTGTTGGCGAGAGGGGGAAGGTGCGGGACCGGGACCGGGATCGGGATCAGGGTCGGGATCGGGAAGGACGGGGCCGAGCTGGGTGGGATGCGGAGCTCCCGTCCCAAACTGGAATGAACACGGTTGTGAAGTTGCCCCCGAACAGCTCCGTGTCTCAGAACATCCGCCCTGCCCAGAGGATGTTTTCAACTTAAATCAGAAGCACAGAAGATTAGAGAGCATGTGGGGCTTTAGGTAATCATGGAATGCTTTGGGTGGGAACGGACCTTAAAGCCCATCCACTTCCAACCCCTGCCATGGGCAGGAACACCTTCCACTAGCCCGGGTTGCTCCAACCCGGCCTTGGACACTTCCAGGAATGGAGTAGCCACAGCTTTTCTGGGCAACCCGTGCCAGGGCCTCCCCACCCTCACAGCCAAGAGTTTCTTCTCAATATCCCATCTAACCCTGCCCTCTGTCAGTGTGAAACCATTCCCCCTTGTCCTGTCACTCAAGGCTCTTGCAAATAGTCTCTCTCCATCTTTCTCGTAGCTCCCTTCAGGTCCTGCAAGGCCAAAATCAGGTCACCCCGAAGCTTCTCTTCTCCAGGCTGAACAACCCCAATCTCCCAGCCTTTCCTCCCAGCAGAGCTGCTCCATCCTTGGTGCCTCCTCTGGACTCTCTCCAGCAGCTCCATGTCCTTCCTGTGCTGGGCCCCCAGGGCTGGAGGTAGCCCTGCAGGGGGGTCTCACCTGAGCAGGGCAGAACCTACTCCTCCCCTCCTGTCCACGGTGCTTTTATATATTAATAATTAACTTCTTATATGACCGAAGTATAAATTACTTAAAGCCCAGGTGGTTTTAAGCCACACCTCTGGGGCCTTGTTAAGGTCAGGGGAGGATGAGCAAGGGTTGTTTTACACCTCAGACTCACACAAAACACCTGACTCATGGCCCAGGTGACAGTAATGAAGCAGAGATTTGTTTTCTTGAGAACACCGGTGAAAACTCCACATAAATACATGGGGATCGTTTGTCTGAGAGACAGATGTGGATTTGTAGTTTAATCCTGGAAAGGTGCTATGGAAGGGTAGGAGGGCCAGGCAGCTCCCTACCTAAGAGGCACCTTGGCACTGTGGGCTAAACTCCTTGGAGTTTTATTCCCGATGTGCCTGGAGAGAAGGTACTCTGTAAATGACTTGTGAGCAAACAGGTCTGTGCTCCTGGCACAACATGCAGCACTTGTTCCATCAGGAGGAGAGATTCCACTGCCCTCCAGGTGGCTCTGGTTTGATTTAAATATTTTGTAAACTTCTTTTAAATAGCAGTGTCTCATTTTACTTCCAGTCACCCTTGGCTTTGCTTATCACTCCCTCACTTTGTCAGGGCCCTCTCACAAGTGGCACAGGCCTTTCTCTTACTTCCAGTCCCATCCCCAAAACTGCCCGTGTTTTTATCAGGCAGGTTAGTTCCTTCCTTCCTGGAATAATTTCAAGATGTGCCCTTGTTCATGCCTGGACATGAATGTAGGGCACACAGGTGGATAAGAGCCAGACGTGTCAGGTTTCTTCATAAGTGCAACAATCAAAGTAATGATTTTAATGATTGTGTTAATCATCGGTGTCAGGGGGCCTGTGGAGGTGCCCTGGGCTGCCCAAGTTGGGCAGAACTCAGCTGAGGGACACTGTTACGACCCGCCCCAGGAAAAGGGGAGAGGGGGGGTAACTCAGGTTTTTATCAATAATTCCCTTGGGGTGGATTAAAGTGAAACGACACTAAATAATCGGTGTCTGAAAACATACTGGCAAGGTTTATTTTAACAATTCTGTATCAACAGGCATGCTAGCAGTTTGGGTGCTGTCATACAACAGTGTGACACAGAGATAACCTTTGGGGGGGGGGAGAACATGCATAGGGGAGAGAAAGGCAGGATAAGAGCAAGGGAGAGTAAGAGAAAGAAAAGCTGAGAGTGGACAGATGTCTATAGTCACCGCCCACGGGGTCCAGCGATGCTTCCATGTCTGTCAGTTGAAGTGGCAGCCTTGATCTGCTGGGGGTGAAGGAGGGAAGCCTCCATACTCCAAGAAGTTATGAGTTCTATCCATGGTTAGTGTCACGGGCCGTGCCTCGAGCCTCCAACATCTCCTAGGTCTGTGTGCTGAGTTTTTGTGTCTCGCCTGGTTCCCGCCTTTCAAGATTAGCAGAGGGAGGGACCTGATTGCTCATCAGATGTATCAATAGTCAAAAGCCTGCAAGCTCAGCTCAGTACTTCACACCTTCAGCACTGGAGGGAGGGAGGGGCCCGACTGCTCATCAGAGGTATCATGCAGGTCAAAAGCCTGCAAAAAGTCTCTTAGAATGCATAAATCATTAACCATTTCAGTCTCTGACAGACACCCAGCTGGAGAGACCAGTAACCTCACACAGGTCACACCCTGAGAGTGTTCCCTTGGAATTCTTTTCTTTCACGAGTACAACAGGAACACAAATGTGTTAATTACACGTGTGCTCCTTCACATCAAGAAGCCAGGGAAAGGTTTTTGTTCTGTTTTCTCCCACAAACTTCCTTTTAACTCATTGATTTTCTTAGATCTTGCCAGCAGGTGAGAAAACCCACCCCCAAAGCAGCTCAACGGGGTGTCTGACAGTACAAAAATCATCACTGGACCCTGTCAGGTCACATGGTGACGTGATTATTTTGTTACTTGGAGTATCAGAGTCAATTCAAGGAGGAAAGAAGAGGAAGTGCATCTTGATTGTTTCCTAACTTGCCATCTTAAAGGGCAGATGAAATGTGATGCAGGTAAACAGCAGCCTAAGCTATGTAGACAGAGCTAATAAACTTCCCAGAAAAATGTGCAAGAGTAACAAAAAAAAAAAACCAAAACAAAATGTGGCCTGGATCAAGCACAGGGCCCCTGCAACAAGAACTTCTGAGCAAAATTTACACGGATTAAAAAATTAAGAGAGAATTTTGAGGGTTCTGACTCCCTTGGCAACCATACCCCTGGTGCAAATACGTGGTGCTTCCTGCTTGTGGTGGTTCCTCGGGAAAAATACGGAGTTAAGGTGAGACTGGAATGCACACATCGCTCGGGATTGCCGGAGTAACCCCTCCCTGAGGTGATGAGCAGTCCCTTCCCAGGGCGGTGATCCAATTGCCGCCAGGAGCTGCTCTGTGGAAAGGTGGAAGCCGCCTTTCCATGTCGGCCCCGGAGAAGAGTGCCTGGATTTGGGAGCCCCCTGAGGGCCAGGGAGGCGGCACACACGTGTTTGTTCAGGTCGCACCACGTGTGCCTTACAATCCTGTGTTTTGAGCGGTCTGGGAGGGGCTTTGGTTGTTTTTCTTCCTTTAGGATCCCGCTTTCCAGAAGCTGGAATTTCCCGCTGTCTAATGCTTTGTCACTGGACTCGGCTGCCAACACAGCCGTGTCTGGCACAGTCTGGGACACTCCAGGCTGTCTCCTCTGGCCTTTTGCTGCTGCAGGAGGTGTCAGGGACCTGCTGTCCCCTCCCTGCCAGACCCCTGGGCATCCCCAGAGGCACTCGAAGACCACTAAATAAAAAAAACAGACCCCAAGGCTTTGTATTGTCCTGAGCAAGGACACTGTGTGTCATGAATGTCTTCCCCTGGGATTGCAGGTGGGTAAGGACACTCTTCCCCCTCCCAAGGATACTGGGAGAGGTAATTCCCCGAGTTTATGTTTGTGTGGCATTCTGAAGATGAAAAGTGCTGTGGAAATGATTGTTTTTTTCATTAGGACTCTGTGCTGGTGGCTCCCTGGTGGAAATTCTGCTGCTGAAATGAAGGGCAGTGCTGCTGATAACCAAGGGCTCCCTGTAATTAAAGGAGTGTCAGCTGGAAAGCCTTTGCAAGATTAGAAACAACATTCACTTTTAACAGCTCAACTGAGCTAATCTTTGTGCTGCAAGTCCCTCACCCTCCACTGCCCCACGAGCTTGAAACATGAGGCTCAGAGGAGAGGTTGTGTAAATGTTGATTAAGAACTTTGTACCCAGCACAGCCTGCTGGGGCACTGGGGCTGCTCAAGGTCTGCCCACTGCTTTTGTTTAATTTTAATTTTGTTTAATTTGGGTTGGTGGGTTGGGTTTTTTCCTTGTTCACATTCGCCAAGGGCTGGAATTTAGGTATTTCAAGCAGTACCAAAGTCTGGGCGTGTTTCCCCATGGAAACAAACAGCCTGACAGGCTGAAACTTGGAGGACAAAGCAGCTACCACTGACCAGCAGGACAGCCAGGGTGGATGGAAATATGGATTTTGGGCATTCTGGTGTTTGCAGGGACAACAATCTGCTGAGGGCTTTATGGGAGCTGCTGCTGTGGCACAGAGGGATGAGTGCAGTCAAACCCAGCTGAAGTTTTAAATGGCTTTTGAGCTGTTAATAGAGGGTGAAAACGCCTCTGAAACTGGTCAAGGACAGAACATTGTCCATAAAGCTCATCTGAGGCATTTTATTTTTTTTAGTAAGTGAGAGACTCTCAAAATGTTTATGCTCTCAGGGATGTTATTTTGGCCACTGGAAGGCACCTAAAGGAATGCAACCAAAACAGTGTGTCTGTGTATAAGTATATATTTCCTAGTATATATTGGGAAAACATATTTAAAATGTCAACTAGGCTAAAAATCAGTGAAGTCCGAAGAAAGCATGTGGCTTTTCATACTTTATCTATGTTATGTATAACAACTGAATAAAGATTTCATTCACAGTGGTGAAAAACAAAACCTTGCTTTGGATTTTTTTGCTACATTTTTATTTGTAGAAGTCCTCGCAGTGGTAACTAAACTAAAAACTTTGCAAATCCCAGGCTACATAAGCAAGTACCAGAGACAACTTCAATGGGGTTTCATTTGGATATCCTTTGGATT